GGGAGAGGCCAAAACAGTGAGAGGCCCGCGTACCACCAAAAAAAAAAAAAAAAAAAGCACCCCATCTGATTTGTTTTTTAAAATACTTATTGTTTTTCTAACCTCTGATTTTGATTTATAATCTGAATATACTGTGAAACGTTAGGCTGAACAAGCTGGACTTGTGGAATTAATTTTTTAAAGGAATCTTTATATTTGTGTCCTACTCTTCCTTAAATTTATGAATCTATCCCCTCTTCCTTTCTTTCTACCTTAATTTGGATCTTCATCATCTCTCACCTAAGCTAATTTCACTACCTCTCTAGCTTTTCTTCCTGCTTTGAACTGTTCTCCATAGGCTACCTCACACGGCCATCAGAAGGATCTTTTAAAACCCAGCTTCAACAATGAGACTCTCCCTGCTTTAAACCCTTTTGTGTCTCCTCATTGCTACCGGATTAAATCCAGTCTTCACCTCAACTTGTCTTTTCACCCACCTCCTCTCTCTTCACTGCTCCAAAACATATTATATAGGCTATTAGCCACTCTCAGGCTAGTCCAGAAGGCTGGAAGGAACAAATTTGTCTTCCCTAAATTGGAAAAGCAATTACAAAAAAAACTACAAATTATGGCCAGAATATGGACTCAAACTTGGTCTGGACAGCGAGAAAGTTGAGAGGTGTGAGTGTGTAAAAGAGAAAGGAGGAGGACCAACACTGGGCACTGGCAAAGTTGGAGTTAGTTGTGTAGCAGTGTGGTCCAGGTGACTTAGCTTACAGCAGGACCCCAAACAAAAGCTGTCAATCCAGAGATAGAGGTAAGGGCAAGAGCTTTGGAGGCTGATTGGACTGATCCAAAGAGCAACAGCTGAGGGCAAGGAAGGTGGCATGCACTCACATTTTTCTGAACCCTGGCAAAACAGAACTCACAAAATCTTTTTGAATAGATATATGAATGAAATTTTACAAAGTTATATTTGTGATTTCTGAAATATACTGAGACAGTATTCATGATGCCAAACCAGAAAACTAAAAACGTATATTAAACAAACAGACATGTTAATCAATTATTGACAAAACTTCAATTTTCATGCAGGAACCATAGGTGTTTCCTATACAAATGGATAAGATTAGAGGTGATTAGAAATATTAGTTTATTTCTTGTATTTAATTTCCTGTGGCTAATTACACCTTTCCTTTTCCATTTCAGTATTTCTATACAGAAGCTTTCAAATGAATCTCACTACACGATTTACGAGTTCTGGGAGAATAGTAGTGTGTGGAATAGGTAAGTTATGAGCAGGCCTTATTTTTTTTATTTTTTTTGCCAGGGAGGTGGCAATATACATGATATAATTTTAGAACCTGTAGAAAAAACTCCATTCCCTTTACCTCACCTTAAAACCTGTCTTATTTGCTCATTTTCCTAAATCTCACTCTTTTTATGGATTTGAAATCACTTTCCTTTTGAAGCACAAAAACTTTTGATTATGATCACACTTTAAGAATTACCATTTTACTGATGCTTTCAGGTAAACAGATTTAGATGTGGGTCATGGGTGTCTAAGGTGTGCAGGGGTGGGAGACAAAGGATGCAGAAAAAGATGAAAATAATTTTACCTCCTAATTTTTCTTAAGCTCTGTGGTTTTTATTTTGCAATATAGCTATATATAATGGTTAAGATCATCATAGCTTAACAGCTTTTTGAAATGTCTTTACTTACTGCAAATAAAAGGGAAATTCAAGACATTGTTTGGAAAAGATGAAAAGCAAGTCAACTTCTCTTGTAGTCATTCAGTTTTGTATATAATTATATTTGTTAACTATTCCTAGATAAAGTTAAAAAATAAATCAAGTTCTTTGAAATTAAAATAATTATTAATAAGTAACAAATATATAATTAGAAAAATGAGATGAAGGAAATTTTGCTATTCTGAGATTATATAAATAGTTCTAGTTGGCTTTAAATGGCACAGAGAATATAGCTCTCCAATAAGTCCATATTTTGGGGTGTTAAATGATGGTAATGAAACAAATACCTGGAAATTTATTTGATACATATTTCACCTAAAATTTTTATTTTTGTGGCTATTTTAAACACTGTGCTATTATGCATAATGACATCAATAGAATTTCAGGCACAAAAGGGAGCTTTAAAGGCAACTTATTCAACTCTGTAGTTCCAGGCCTATACTTTTAGATGATTTTTCTTTCTTTTTATCCTCTAGAGATGGAAAATCTATAGTCCTTCTTCTTAGCTATCCTATTTTTTAAACATCCTGATGCCCAAGATAGTCTTCCTTCTGTTTAAACTTCTTGCTGCAATTACAGTTATCTCCTTTTGTTTTATCTTGTCTAGAGAATTAGTGCTCTCCTGTTTTAAAAAAAAATTCTGGTGATACTTGTTAAATTACTCCTTAGTCCTTTTTAAGGGTAAATAACCAAGAAAAGAAGTCCGTATTCAGGCACTTAATCTAAATCATCCGAAACCTTGCCACCTTGAGTGAATTTGAACTGTGCTACATTTCTACTCAGGAAGATTGTAATAAATTGCACAGCCGTAACCTATAATTATTTATACAGCCACCGTCAGATGAATTATAGCAAGACCTTCCAAAGAAGTAATGTGGATTTCTTGGAAACTCCAGAACTCACATCTACTATGCTAGTTCCTGGTAATTATCCTGGGTTCACAATTCTTCTATGTGCTTTTGTATTGCCTTTCTCTGTTTAAAAGACAGTATGTTCTAGCCCCTTCCCCTTCATCAACTGTACTCTATTTTTTTATCTATCTTAAAATTGGAGAGTGGGGGTAGGAAATAAGAGATCTATATATTTTTTCTATTGCCTTTAGTCCTTAGTTGACCCTATTTGTATTCCTGGCTGTATTAAACCTAATATTAGTCATTTGCTGGTCACCTTTTAACAATTTGAAGTACAAATCATGACATTTCAAAAAATTATTCAAATACTTTACTATATTATAGTGTATTGAATAAATTTGAAATAGGTGACCATAGATTGGAGATTAGAATTATGTTAGAAATATCTTTATTATAATAATTGTTAAAATATTTTTTGTAATTGGAAAAAAGGAGAAGGGAAAGAGAAATTTGAAATGAACTTGCCTGAGAAGTCTGGCCTAGCCAAAGCTTATTTAAGATAATTGAGAACAAAAATTATTTGTTCATCTACCCATCCATTCAATTACCAATTAAACATACTTTTACTGAATGTTAATAAGTGCTAAGCACTGGGGATACTGGGGTTCCTAGCCTGTTTACTAGCACTGATTGAGCTCCAATTATGAACAAGCATTGTGTTGGGAGCTATAGAGGGTACAAAGTAAAAATACACTCCCTACCTATAAAATGCTTTCTGTCCAGTAGGAAAGACAAATGTTTGCAGAAAAATAACAAGCTCAGGACATACATAGTAGTTACCCATTAGAGTCATAATGTGCTATGTGAATTTAGAGGAGTGGATTGCCTCTTTAACAGTTTTTAATGAGGAGATGATCCTTGAGCTGGACTTTAAAAAATTAGATTTGGACAAATAAAGATGGAGAAGAAGGTACTTAGAGGTAAATTGTAGACATGAACAAATGTAATAAATGTTAAATGTGCTGTGTTAATTGGTGCAAAGATATGATTAAAGCATAAGGTTTGTATATGGTACATGTGCAAAGAGAGGAGAGAGTAGGAAATGGGAGTTGAAAATAAGGAATTTTAACTTTCTTCTTACAGTATTATGGAGCCATTAAAGGTTTTTGAGAGGGCTAGTGAATGCTCTAATCAGTAGTAACTGTGGCAGGAGGGAGAAAGGTGAATGTCATGAGAGGAGAGAAATTGGTCAGGCAGGGCAATAATCTAGGCCAGGAAAAAAAAAGCATCTGAACCAAGATGATATCCATAGAGTTCCCTTTCAGATAGAATTTTCAGAAGTTAACCATAGCAAGATGATGGTTGAAGCCGGGGGTTGGTGAGAAAGTGTGTAGGTAAGAAGAAAATATCTAACAGAAGCCTGAGGAACTGCCTTTATTTAAAAGGTTGGGAGAGAAAAGCCTCCTTTCATTAAGGAGACTGAGGGGAACCAGAGATAGGAGAGTCACAGTTGCAGAGTATTAAGGAAACCAAAAGAGGAGTAACATGCAAGGTACAGTGCTCCTCAGGGGGCCTATGTAGGAGAGCATGACTGAAGAGAATGGGACTGAAAATTGGATTTGACAAGAGAAGTTTTAATAAAATGGTAAGAATTTTAAAATTAGGGTAGATTTTGATGGATTGGCACTAAATGGAAAATGAAAAAGTCAATTCTGGAAATTGAAGCTAGGTGAGGAGATGGGGAGATCAGGTGTGAATGCTTTCAAGTTGGCTGACTCTGACAGTCTCAGCCTGATTTTTTATATTTACTCTAGATCTTAAGGGCAGGTTTATGCACTATTAGTATCATTGGTACATGCATTCTATTACTCTTTCTCTCTCAGAGCATTTCCTAATTTAGAGAGAAAAACTGAGTACAGATAAAACTGGATCAATTCCTGTTCTCAGAATTCAGAGTGAATACAATTTAATGCCTTTTAATTGCTACCCTATTTTTCATTGATTTTCACATCACATCTAATTTCTACAACCACTGGAATTTGATAGAAAAAAAAAGTTAGGCTTGATTCTAACACAATTTTAAAAACCTACTTCAAACAAGATTTTTAACATCTATTGGGCCATCCTACTCTATTTTAAACTGAAAGTTTTATCACTGTTAACAGCTGACTTCCCTTGGGGAAAAACAGCAAATATATCTCCCTGGAAAAAAAGCTGAAATTAGCTTATAAATATTATTTATGATTTTAATGTCCATATGACTTATATTTGTAATAACTAGTTTTGTGCATTTTGTTTATGTAGTTTTGAAATGCTGCGTATATTTTGACCTAAAATAAAAATCTGCAAGTTATTACAGTTAGAAACAGAATGAGTGGGTTTGTATTACTAATTCACAAATAACAATTTCTAATAAGACTTTTTTTTTTTTGTGGTACGCGGGCCTCTCACTGCTGTGGCCTCTCCCGTTGTGGAGCGCAGGCTCAGCAGCCATGGCTCACGGGCCCAGCCGCTCCGCGGCATGTGGGATCTTCCCGGACCGGGGCATGAACCCGTGTCCCCTGCATCGGCAGGCGGACTCTCAACCACTGCACCACCAGGGAAGCCCAATACTGCTTTTTAATTAAGATTTCTAAGTGGTTTACTTAAGATACATCTTAAGAAATAAAGCAGGGACTTCCCTGGTATCGCAGTGGTTAAGAATCTGCCTGCCAATGCAGGGGACATGGGTTCAAGCCCTGGTCCAGGAAGAGTCCACATGCCACAGAGCAGCTAAGCCCGTGCGCCACAACTACTGAGCCTGCGCTCTAGAGCCTGTGAGCCACAACTACTGAGCCGCGTGCCACACCTACAGAAGCCCATATGCCTAGTGCCCATGCTCCATCTGCAATTAGAGAAGTCACCTCAGTGGGAAGCCCGAGCACCGCAATGAAGAGTAGACCCCGCTTGCTGCAACTAGAGAAAGCCCGTGAGCAGCAACAAAGACCCAACTCAGCCAAAACTAAAAATAAATAAAACAAATTTATTTAAATAAATAAAGCAAATAAACCAGTCTGCACTAGATACAAAAATATAAACCAAAATATATTCCTATGAACTCTCAAGTATAAAAATCACTTAAATGAGGCATACTGGAATATGGAGCCTATGCTGATAAGCTATCATAAAACACCCAGACAAAAAGAGTATGAGTGGTCTGTGGAGCAGAATATCCCTTGGCAAAGGAGAAAGCCTTATGGTTATGGGAAAAAAGGATACATAAGAAAGTAAGATCCTATTGCCAGTCAGTGTATTATTTAAACAGCTTTGAAAACAAATTTTAATCCTTCACATTTGTCTGTTTCTCACCTCATTCCACCAATCTTACTTCTTTGACATAGGTTTGTCTTTGGGATACTTACATATACTGGGGAAAATATTTCTAATTTTACAATACAGATATACTTAAAAAATATTATTTAAAACACATCCACTTACTTATACCCAAACTTCCTGAACTGGGAAGATTAAAACAACAACAACATGATTTTATCTTCAGGGCGTTTATAATCTCATTGCCAAGACAATCTCTATTCATATATAACAAAAACTTTTTAGTTAGACTGCAACCAAGTGCCAAAAGATATGGTACAACTAACAAGTGCACAGGAAAGTTCAATCAAGTCAGGAAATAGTAACTTGAAAGATAAGTAATTATACAGACTAAAGATGAGGGAAAATAGTCTCTTTAAGAATGACTTGCACCTTGAACTAACTTAGCCCTAGCAGTTATTTTCATTATTTAAAAAAACTCTTTTTCTCTTTTCAGCTTCATGGTGGATCCTGAACAACTAGCTGTTCCTTAACATTTTCTTTATGGTTCCAAGTAAAAAACAACTGTTCTTATCTGAAATGTGAATTAGAAAATTCTCTGTACTTATTAATCTACTCTCTAGTTTTGTTTAAATATATTTACCCTAAGATGTGCACTCTTCTTAAATGTCTTCTATCATTTTATCTTTCATGTAAATTTTAGCTCAACTTTCAAAGTTCACTATTATCCTCAATATTTGCTGCTGTATTGCTACATACAATAAACCTAAAACCCTTTAATCTCAAAATCATAATGTATGAAAAGTATACATATAAAGTAACAAAATTGTTATGATAGAGAAAAAAACATTTAAAGTGAGAGCTTTTAGACTATTACTTCATAGAACAGCTTCTGTAGATCTGTCATAAACTATAAAGGTTAAATCAGTGTTATGTGATTTTTAAGTATCTGCTTTTCCATGAGTGAAATGTATTCTTCAGTAATACCTACTCCATTCCCAACTCAGCATCCTATAACTATTCACTTTATGTTACTTAAAAAGCTAATACATGATCCAATATGACTGGTATCCTTATATGCAGAGAGAGAGAGCAGGGATGCATGTGCACCCCTGTTGTTTAAGCTTAAAAAAACATTAATACATGAGCATAAATCAATCTTCACTATAACCAATAGAATCTCTATCCATCTGTCAAGTTATAAACTGGTTTTTCATAAGTGAGCAATTCTGTGACAGGGTACCATTTAGTAATGTAACACCATTATATCATTTGTTAAGAAAATGTGGTTCAAAATTTTTGGCACATGATCCAGAGGTCTAACTTTACTTATGAAAAATAGACATTTGCATTTAAATAATGATTTCAAAATATTTTAAAACCAAAATTTTAACCTAAGTGAACAAAGAATTATAAAACAAGTATAAACTTTAGGGAAATAATAAAATATGTACTGGACAAAAAACATCTATTTTTCAGTTTCAACACTAGAATGACTACAATCCCAGTTTCACTAGAAAAACTAAAACTATGTACCTTATATATTCTGCTGTACAAGCTCATAAATTAAATATTTTTAATAAAATCTCTTTTATTCTGATAAATGCTGCTAACGAAAATGCAATGCATATAGAAATTTGTTTATTCTCTAGGCCAAATTCCTCTGAAACCACAGGTCTTCCAGGAAACAAACATAAGGTGAATTTTTCCTTCTTTTTTTTTTAAACTCAGACAAAAAGGAAGGTTGAACTAAAATTTTATTTTTTAAATATAAAAGTTAACCTAACATATTTTCTCAAACTAACTTTTACCAACACCTTTGTGTACTCTCAGTCCTCATTCAGTCTAAATAAAATTAAAGAATTTTTAATAGCTTCTACTAGAAATAGGTAGTAAATATTGACATACGTATATGTGTGTGTGTGTGTGTGTGTGTGTGTGTCTGGTCATTTCTAAAGATGATAAACACTATGAAACAACACCTGGCTCAACTCTTTTAATTTATATACAAAGCAAAGAACAACATGAATGGAGATGTACAATGATTATTCAAATAAGCTATACATATGTACAAAGGCAAATAGATAATACAACAGTCTTTGCAGTCTCACTCTGATTATATACAGTAAGAAAGGATCAAAAGACTTTGAAACCTCGGGGACTTCTAATATACAAACTCTTCTTGAAAACGCTGGTTATAAATGATTTCAAAAATAGAAATTATAGCTAATCAATATATTGTTCTGGCCAGTCCATTTCTGTATCAGATTCAGAAAGTACATCAAGTCTTTTGGATACTAGGCACTTTCCAAAGTTAGAATGGTAGTATGACTTTAAAAGGGGTCTGCCCTCAGTAACAGTGCTAAATGGAAGGGCTCTTTGGATTCCAAATTGTAATAGGTTCGATCATATTTTTTTTAACTTAAGTCAACAGACTTGGATAATAGGCAAATAATAAAGCAAACCAATTTAATTGTATGGTAATTCTGACCCCAGCTCTTTTTAAATTACTTTTTTATTGAGATGACCCCAGCTCTTATATAAATTACATGTATTCTTGTGTATGTGTGTGTATTCATACACATATAAATACTAGAAGCTATAATATAAAGGGAAATAGTAGGGCAAAAATGAGTGTAAAAAACTGGGCCGTAGGTGTAAACTCATTTTTAAGTAACCAATAAATTTATGGCTAGTGAAGGTTCTTTTTTTTTTCCTACTTGAAAAGCAATCTTTTTCTGGTGAACAAAGCAATTAAAAGTAGTATACTACAGACCAAGTTGGGAAATCTGCCATGGACTAAAGTTTGAATCTGGGTAACAAGTCTAAAGACCAGTGAAGAAAAAGGTACTGGTTTTAGGAGTTCAGAATTCAGTTTAAGATAAACTTTCTGCCAAATGATGTCCTTGAATGCCTTGCCAATAGACCCAGGGATCTGAAAGAATCTGAGGATAGAACTAGGGAGAGTTTACACTTACCTTTATATGAGCAATTCTTTGTGACACTGTGCTGGAACAAACTTTTCTTTTTAACAAAAGTGACAAATTGCAGGAGATTTATTGTATAGAATTTCTAGGAGCTAAAAGTTTAAACCTCCAAATTCTTCATCCATACACTTGTTATAAGAAATTACAGCACTGAAACTTAATGCACCTCAATTATTTGCAAATGCCTCAATTATTCCTCTTTTGGAAATAAAAGAATCTTAGACAATGTTGTTATTATCACAAACCTAGAGAACAATCATATATTTGAAAAGAAATACTTCTTAAAATATTCTCCCTCCTATCACTGAGAACTATTCATTGAACATCCTGAATCATTCTAAACCTCTAGAGAGATTGTAATGATCCTTTCAAGTGCTGGTATGAAATCAGTGGGAAACAGAACAAAAGCAACTTTAAAAGCAACAAGAAATTATGTATCATATGTACATCACAGCATATACTTTATATTTGAGAATCGTTACAGCTTACATTTTCATTCCATTATTACAAGTGATGAAAAACAAAAATTGCAAGTAGCATGCAAATTATAAATACAGTCTTCCCATTTCACTAACCAAATTCCTACTTTCCAGTGTTACTTCCCAATTTATGCAAGAAACTGCCTGCAAAGCTGAAACTGATTAGAAAATTCTTTATTGTTTAAAGTATCTCTTTCTCATTTTAGGAGAAACCAAATATCCAACCATCAAAATTAAAAATAAATTGAATTGTTACAGTTATTGTTACTAGATCCACTTCATTTGCAGGTGTCCAAAATATAAAACTAGTAATTCTTTATCTTCAAATACATACATTCTCAAAATGCTACTTAAAGCTTTGGTTGTTTTCCTGTAATAGAGCAGAAAAAGTTAACTTATCAATTAGATTGAATGAATGTACCTTTTACTAATTAGTTTATCAAACCAAATGTTGTGACCTATTAAGTGTTTGCAGATCTAAATGCATGTTACTATAGAAACTATTAAGTAACTGGAATTTGTCAAATAAAGTAGTTCTTCTGTGTTCAGTAAAACTTATATAATACATATATTATATTTAAATATATTAGACTGTATTCAAAACCCGTTGTTCTGTTTTTGTGGTACCTAATTTTTAGAAAATATTATTAATGCATAAAACAAAAGTAAACTCAAAATAATGTGTAGGTCAAACTTCTATTGACAAAATAAAATGTTGTTAGAAGTGGAAAGCCTTCAAATGAGAAAGCGACTATATTTTATATAGCACTGAAGTTTAGATTTATTCTTATAGACCAAGGATTATATGCCCCTAAGATCTCTGAACAGGTAGAAAAATTCAAATATCATCAAGGATGCTTTACCTCATTAAATATTCCTGTGAGCAAGGTATTATGAAAAAAACTTTTAAATTTATGCTTTAATTTTAAAAAGAATTGGCTGGATGTCTGCAAGGTAGTGAGTTTAAATTAAGAGCCATTGATACACTATGGATAAACTAAAATACAAAAAATTGTAATTATGAAAAAAAAGCTATGGATTCCAAAGGGTAAGAAATCCCCCAAATGGAGAACACAGGAGGTATTTTATATCTCACATTTGACCCATTCTTAGCATACCTATATTCTGAACTCATCTCAGTAGAATACTACAGGCATTCCTCACTTTACTGCTCTTTGTAGATACTGTGTTTTTTACAAATTGAAGGGTTGTGGCAACCTTGCATCAAACAAGCCTGTGGGTACCATTTTTCCAACACTATCTGCTCACTTTGAGTCTCTGTGTTATATTTTGGTAATTCTCCCAATATTTCAAACATTTTCATTATTATCATTATATTTGTTATAGTGATCTGTGAACAGTTATCTTCAATGTTACATAGCGAAAAGATTACAACTTGCTGAAGGCTCAGATGTTGGTTAGCATTTTTTAGCAATAAATAACTAAATTGTTTTTTAATTAAGATATGTAAATAGTTTTTTTCCCAGACATAATGCTATTGCACAACTAAGAGCAGTATAGTGTAAACATAACTTTTATATGCACTAGGAAACCAAAACATTTGTGTGACTCCCTTTATTGCAATATTTGTTTGGAACCAAATTTGCAACATCTCTGAGGTATGCCTGTATACCTTTTATACACCTTTACCTGTATAAAATGGTGTTTATGAAAACTATAAATAAAAGAAATTCAAATTCCAGTCAAAATGGAAGTAAAGACCATAAAAGATGAAAATCAACACCTACTGAGTACATAATGAGAGATAAGTACCATGCTAAAAGCAATTTCATACATTTCATTTAATCCTAACAATTAGAAATCATCCCCTTATCACAATTGCAAAACTGAGGCTCAAGAACATTTAGTGATTTGCCTAAGTTTGAACAATATACCAGTACACAGGTGGAGCTACAACTTGAACCCAAGCCTGACATGAAACTCATGTCCTTTCCAATCAATATCCTGAAAGATACATGTATGTATTTACTGTGTGTATTTACTTTGATATAATTTGATGAGGTGACACAGAAATATAAAGGGCTAAGAAACAGCAAAGATGTGTCAAAGAATAGTTGTGTTGTTTTACTGTATAAAAGGAGTAACTGAACAGAACAGAGTGCCCAGAAACAGACCACATGTAAATATACTGCCGCAAAGGTGGCAGAGGACTATCCTTTCGCTAAATATTGCTAGGATGACTGGATATCCATGCAGAAAAAAATAAAACTTCACCCCTACCTCACACCATATAGTAAAATCAATTTCAGGTGAATTATAAAACTTAATTGAAAAACAAAAATATTTGCTAAAATATGACAATTCCATTCTATTTTTGACCAGAGTCGTAATTACTTGCAGTAATTGGTTATATTATACATTTAGATTTATGTACTTTTCTGAATTATATTTCACAATGAGAAAGATTAAAAAGGTTTAAAAGACACATATTTTAGAATTAAAACAATACAAAAATATTTAAAAGATAAATATTTAGGATTAAAACAATACAAAATTAGAAAACTACTTACTGGTTTTTGAAGTACAATGGGATGATCAGGCAGAAAGTCTGGTTTTTTTCTGCAGATGGAAACACTTGAGAGCTTCAACAGAAAATCTCTGCTGTATTTGATTCTCTCTGTAGATATCAAAACATCAAATGTAATGTTATAAAGCACAGAACTCTCCCAGAACACTTTTTGGCTCACTTCTTTCTGGATGTCCCTTAACTGTCCATTATTTTATAAAATGGTAAGTAGTTTTTATGTAAAAGAGAAGTGGGGAAAAAGCTCTGACAAACATCTACTGCCTCCAATTTTCCTTTTACACAGAAACAAAGCCAATTAACCAAGGAAACATTTCAGAAACTTGGTAATGCATTGCTTCTTTTATCTGGTTTATTCATATCTAGTAAAGAAATCTTCTATTATAAAATATAACAGGTATAACACCTATTGGGCAATTCAGATCCTGATAAGCCTTTGGAAATGGAACCCTAATAAGCCTGTCTAGTCTTTATATTAACTTACTAAAAATTTAATACAATCTAATAAATTCAAGAAGCATTTATTGTAGATAATGGTGAAAAAGGTCCAAAATAGGGTCCCTATCTTCAAGGGGAACAATGATTCAAATATTTGCAGATTTGTCATCAGAGACTATCACCATCTTGGTCTATATGAGACCATTTGCTGGGCCAGAAATAGTGGAGCTATAATCTTTAAATTTCCAACAGAAAAGGACTGACAACCTAGGTTCCCATATTGTGAAATAATAGAAAAAATATATATATGGGTTTCTGTCCCTGTTCCTGGCACAAAAATCCTTTCCCTTGTAATTTCCTAAGTGATAAGAGCACTAGGGGCGTCTTTTGTTCTAATACTTGTTCCTTGACACTAGTTCCTGACACGGAGCTGCTAAATCTCTTAAAATTTTCTGGGTGATTTGGTCTTCTGTTCTAATGAGGTGACTCTTGGTGGGCTCCTGGATGGGGGCTGATCACCAGAAAGACCAAGCCATGATTAGAAGCTTGGAACTTTCAGCCCCACCCCTACATCCTCTGAGAAGGGGAGAGGGGCTGGAAATTGAATTAAGGATCGATGGTGCCTACGTGTTGAAGCCTCCATAAAAATCAAAAAAGTAAAGAGTTTGGAGAGATTCTGGGTGGGTGAATACATCCATGTACCAGAGAGTGGTGTAACTCAACTCCACAGAAGCTCCTGCACTTGGGACCCTACAAAACCCGGCCCTATGTATATCTTCATTTGACTATTCATCTATATTCTTTATCATACCCTTAATTATGTAATAAACTGGTAAATGTAAGAAAGTGGTTTCCCTAAGTTCTGTAAGCTGTCCTAGAAAATGACAGAATCCAAGAAGGGGGTCTTGGGAACCTTTACTTGTAACTGTCATCGGAAGTGGAGGGTAGTCTTATGTGACCAGGCCATTACCCTGTGGCATCTACATTAATTCCAGTTTATATCAGAATTAACTTGAATTATAGGACACCAAGCTGGTTTCGCAATGAATTGCTTGATATGTGGAAAAACCTCACGTCTAGTGTCAGAAGTGTTGTGAGTATAATAGAGTATTGAGAGTAGAGGAAAAACACAGGAGGAGTGTAGTTTTTCCCTTATACATAGCCAGTGAAAAAAATCCTTCAGGAATGCATATGAAGTAAAAAACATTTTCAGATGAAAGAAAACTAAAAGAATTTGTCACCAGCCGACCTGATCTATAAGAAACACTAAAGGAAGTCCTCCAGGTTGAAGGGAAATGATACCAGACAGAGTCTTTCATCTTAAGATCTAAAGGAGAACAAAAGAGAAATGACAAATAGCTGAATAGATATAACAGACTCCTTTTTTCCCCCCTTATCTAAGTTTTATGAAAATATGTATGATTGTTGAAAAGCAAAACTTCTGACACTGCCTGGTGAGATTTCCAAGGTATGGAGATATAATGCATACAGCTATAGCAAAAAGATCAAAGCAGGGGGATAAAGGAAAGGAAACTACATATGGTTGCAAAGTCACTGTTTTGCATGAAGTACAATATTAACAAGTACACTGAGAAAGTTAGATATTACAATCCCTAGATCAACCACTTAAAAATACAAAGAAATACAGCTAAAAATACAATAGATATAATTAAATGCCAAAAATTAAACTTAACAAAATACAAAGAACAGGGGAAAACAAAAACAAACAAAAATGAGGACAAACAGAAAACAAATAATAAAATTATATGCCTAAATTCAACCATATCACATTAAATCTCAATGGTCTAAACCAGGGTCAGCAAAATTCTTCTGTAAATGACCAGAAAGTAAATACTTGAGGAGTTTGGGACATATAATCTCTGTCACAACTACTCAACTCTGTCTTGTAGCAGAAAAGCAAACACAGATAATAACTAAATAAAGCATGTGGCTGTATTCCAATAAAATTTAATTTCCAAATTGGGCATTTGGCCTGAGGGCCATAGTATACTCACTCCTAAGATAAACACTGCAATTAAAGGCCATAAATTGACACAACAAATAAAAAGAGACACTGTTACATGCTGCCTGCAAGAAATACACATTAAACATAAAGACACAGATAGGTTGAAAGTAAATGGATATAAAAAGATATACCACACAAAGACTAAGAACAAGAAGGCTAGAGTGGCTCTTAACATTAGATAAACAGATAACAATTATCAATGTGTTGTGCCTAAGGACAGAGTTTCAAAATGCATGAAGCAAAAATTGACAGAAATAAAGGGGGCAACACACAATTCCACAAAAATATTAGGTAATGTAAAAACCCTTCCCTCAGCAACTGATATAACTAGACAAAAAAAAAAAAAACCCAGAAAAGACACAGATCTTAACAATACTATGGACCACCTTGATTTAACTGACAATTAGAAAAGTTACATCAACAACTGCAAAATACAAATTATATTCACAGAGGTATGGTACAGTAACCAAGACAGACTATATGTTGGCTATAAAACAAGTTTCAATAAATTTAAGAGGCTTGGAAAAAAGAGGACTCAAATAAATAAAATCAGAAATGAAAGGGGAGACATTACAATTGATACCACAGAGATACAAAGGATAAGATTATATTATGAACAGTTATACACAACAAATTTGACAACCTCTAAGAAACTGATAAATTCCTAGAAACATACAACCTACCAAGACTGAATCATGAAGAAATAGAAAATATGAAATTGAATCAGAATCAAAAACCTCCCGACAAACAGAGGTCCAGGACCATATGGCTTCACTGGTGAATTCTACCAACCATTCAAAGGAAAATCAATACCAACCCTCAAACTCTTCCAAGAAACACTCCCAAATTCAATTTATGAGGCCAGCATCACCCTGGTGCAAAAACCAGAAAACATGAGAAAAGAAAATTACAGGCCAATATTCCTGATGAACATAGATGCAAAAATCCTCAACAAAATATTAGCAAACCAAATTCAACAATACATTAAAAGGATCATACAGCATGATCAAGTGGGATTTATTCCAGGGATGTAAGGATGATTCAATATCCACAAATCAATCAATGTGATATACCACATCACAAAATGAAGGACAAAAATCATATGATATCTCAATAAATACAGAAAAAGCATTGGACAAAATTCAACATCCGTTTATGCTTAATACTCTCAACAAAGCAGATATAAAGGGAATATACCTCAACCTAATAAAGGCCATATATGACAAGCCCACAGCTAACATCATACTCAATGGTGAAAAGCTGAAAGCTTTACTTCTAAGAGTAGGAACAAGACAAGGATGGCCACTCTTACCTCTTTTATTCAATATAGTATTAGAACTCCTAGCCAGAGCAATTTAGCCAAAAAAAGAAAAAGGTATTCAAATTGGAAAGGAAGAAGTAAAACTGTCACCATCTGCAGGTGACATAAAGAAAACGCTGAAGTCTCTACCAAAAACTGTTAGAACTAATAAGTGAATTGAGTAAAGTTGCAGGACACAAAATCAATATTCAAAAATTTGTTGTGTTTCTATACACAAATAAACTATCAGAAAAAGAAACTAAGAAAACAATCCCAATTTCAATTGCAACAAAGAATAAAAAAGCCTAGGGATAAATTTAATCAAGGAGGGAAAGACCTGTATGCTTTAAGACATTAATTAAAGAAAATGAAGATGACACAAATAAATGGAAAGATATTCTGTGCTCATGGATCACAAGAATTAATATCATTAAAATGTCCATATTACCCAAAGCAATCTACAGATTCAATGCAATCCCTATCAAAATTCCAATGGCATTTTTCACAGAAATTGAACAAAAAATTCCTAAAATTCCTAAAATTTGTATGGAATCACAAAAGACCCCAAATAGCCAAACCAATCTTGAGAAAGGACAACAAAGATGGAGGTAACACACTCCCTGATTTCAAACTATATTACAAAGCTATAGTAATCAAAACAGTATGGTATTGGCCTAAAAACAGATGTATAGATAAACGGAACAGAATAGTGAGCCCAGAAATAAACCCACTAATATATGGTCAATTAATATACAACAAAGGAACCAAAACTATATAATGAGAAATGGACAGTCTTTTCAATAAATGGTATTGGGAAAACTAAACAGCCACATGCAAAAGAACGAAACTGGACCCTTTACTTTACACTATACACAAAAATTAACTCAAAATGGATTAAATGCCTGAATGTACGACCTGAAACCATAAAACTCCTGGAAGAAAATATAGGCAGTAAGCTCCATAACACTGGTCTTGGCAATGATTTTTTGGATTTGACACCAAAAGCAAAAGCAACAAAAAGTAAAAATAAATCAGTGGAACTACATCAAACTAAAAATCTTCTGTATAGTAAAGGAAAACATCAACAAAATGAAAAGGCAGCCTACTGAATAGGAGAAAATATTTGCAAATCATATATCTGATAAGGGGCTAATATCCAAAATATATAAAGAACTCATACAATTCAATAGCAAAAAACCCCAAACAACCTGATTTAAAAATGGGCAGAGGATTTGCATAGACATTTTTCCAAAGAAGACATACAGATGGCCAACATATACAAGAAAGGATGCTCAATATCACTAATCATCAGGGAAATGCAAATCAAAA